TGATGGTTTACCACTGCTTGTCATGGCTTAGAGTCCTACATTCACAGAGTTGTTCATAACTTTATTACTGTATTTTAGTTTTTATACAAATCAATTTGACAGGTTAAGAGCCGTTATCCTACCTCAGCTTATTTCAAAGCCCAGGTGTATATAAGGCAGAGGTTGGGGAATTGGGGTAAATTACCCCAAATGGGGTAAAAGTGAAAATCTCAGGGGTAATGAAGGCTCAATGAATGTAAATAAAATCACAGAAAAATTTATTATTTAATAAGCAAAGCAAACTGTGAAAGTTATATTTTTTCAAACAAACAATTTTTAGTCTAGTGGGTAATTTCTCTGTACACAAATTTGTTTTGGGGTAATACCCAAAAAAAGCTCACCAATTTCTGATCTAAGGTATACTACCACCTTCCAGGATGCCACCTGCAACAGTTGACTAACACCCAGATACCTACTTAACGCTAGGTAACTTGGGTGGCCTGGTGGCTAAAGCTCCCGCTTCACACACGGAGGGCCCGGGTTCGATTCCCGGCAGGTGGAAACATTTCGACACGTTTCCTTACACCTGTTGTCCTGTTCACCTAGCAGCAAATAGGTACCTGGGTGTTAGTCGACTGGTGTGGGTCGCATCCTGGGGGACAAGATTGAGGACCCCAATGGAAATAAGTTAGACAGTCCTTGATGACGCACTGACTTTCTTTGGTTATCCTGGGTGGCTAACCCTCCGGGGTTAAAAATCTGAACGAAATCTTATCTTAACTGGGGCTCCAGGTGTAAGGAAACATCCCTAACATTTCCACCCGTACCGGAAATCGAACCACGGACACTCAGTATGCGAGGTAAGTGCACTTCCAACTGAGCCACGAGCCACCATTCACAAGTCATCCCAACCTATCCTTCAAAATGCAGGCACTGTACTTCTCACTTCCAGAATTCATGTTTGGCTTTGATGACTTACAGGAGTAACTATTCAAAGTAACTCATCAGAGCCTGGCCATGAGCAAGGCCTATCTGGTGTTTGACTGGTCAACCAGGCTGTTGCTGCTGGTGGCCTTCTGAAGGATGGGGAAGACTGGTAACAGGGGTAAAAGAAGCAACATAAACTTCAGAACTGTGTTATCACTGAACTTACAAAACTGACTGAGTAACAGTAAATGTATTTCCTCTTATTTTGGTCACCCTACCTTGGTGGGAGATGGCCAGTGTCTTAAAAAATGAAAAATGTTGAAATCCATGTGCCTACTCAATAAAGAGAACAATACACAAATAACCCGCACATAGGAAACTGAAACTTAAGTTGACGTTTCGGTCCAACTTGGACAAAGTCGGACCGAAACATCGTAGGTTTCATTCTCCTATGTGCGGGTTATTTGTGTATTGTTCCAGTCACGGTATTCAGTCTTTTTTTCTTTTTAAAAAGAATATTATACAGTAGGACCCCTGTATCCGCGGGGATACATTCCAAGGACCTGTTGTGGACACTGAAACTGCGGATAGTAGTGAACCCTACATACAAGTCCTATACATCCCTATTATAAAGTTTAATTGAAAAATTATGCACAATAATTGGAGAATATCAATTTTTTCACCCGATGGGAAGCACTTCACACCTTCTCTTAGGCTTTGAAGAACTGCCAGCTTCTCTACTTTTGCACTTTGGGGCCATTATTATGCAAAATTAAGAGGTATTTTTGGCCACAGAAAAACATGGAAACTGAAACTGCAGAATGGGGTTCTACTGTACATTACAATATAATGAAAATTTTGTACACTAACCTTAGGTGTCCTACATGCATCTCCTTAGCAATTGGGTGAGGAAAAATCAATCACCACTCTCTTTGGTGTTACTGGTGGTGGAGTCACACCATTCATGATGCATTTGTAATCTGTAGAAAAAAAAAAAATTTTGTCAGAAAAAAACCAGAACACACAATAATTTTAAATATATGAGATACACAGTTATAAAAAGTACGTAGGATTTCTCAAAGACAAAAAAGGCACAATACGTGACTGAAACAAAACACAAAAAACCCCTTATTCGTTTTTGTTGGACTAGTTAAGGGTCCACTTTGGATCAAAACTCTTTACAAGTTCATTTCTCCTGGGTGGATTTCTGTTTTTTCTCAAAGATATTCATTAAAATGCCATACAATAACAACTCCCAGAATTAAAAAAAAATTACAAAAATACAATCATTTTTTAAATGGGCAAATTCAAAGGGAAAAAACCCTTTGAACCCTTTTATGGCCCCTATTTAATGAAACCTTTCTACTGGACAAAAAATTTTTCAAGCCTCAATAAAATTTTAAAAGACACAAAATTTACATAAGGATAGTGATAAAATGATATAACTTCTAGGGGAAAGCCCCTTTTTTTTTGAAGATGTGATTTTTAAAAAAAGCTAGAGAGAAGAGAGAAAAATAATGCAAAAAACATCTATCCTTTTTTTTCACTTTACTATATCTTTCAACAGAAATGTAAATGTCAAACACGAAATAACTAATAAGGGAAGTATTATCGTTTTAATAAAGGGGGAAAGGGGAAAACCCGTGGGTCATATACAGTATTCCCGTATCCGCAGGGGGTATGTTTTTCCCAAACCCACCATGGATACCCAAAAAGGGATAGTGGCAAACCCATACAATGACATTTTTTTTATATACAGCATCTCCCCTTTAAAGAGAGGCTGTTTCTAAAATATGTCAGTAAACAAATTTGTCACTAGTAAGGGAAAACTGTAATGGTAGTTGTTTGTGTCAACCCTCCTTTTTAACAGTGGGCCCCTGCCTTCAATATAATTTCATTCCGATATGTTCAGGCCGTTTTCCCAACAAATTTTTCCCATAAGGAATATTTGAAATTTGATTTCCATTTTAGACCCCCCAAAAAAACACATACAAAACACTTTAAAAAATAACCTTTCATAATTGGTCCACATGGAAGCGATCGTAAGGGGGGGGCCACGTATTTAATGCCACCTTTTTCACCATTTAAACATTCCCGGTATATTTTTTAAAGTTTAACGTGTGACTGTATATTGTATTTTTTTTATTATTATTACACACTGGCCAATCCCCCACCAAGGGGGTGGCCCAAAAAAAGAAAAACTTTTTGCCACATTCACTCCAAACACGTCTTGCCAGAAGGGTGCTTTACACTACATTTTTTAAAACTGAACTTTAACACCCCCCTTCAAAAAGAAAAAATCGCACAAATATACTTTATTTAGGTAAGCATACTGGTCAAGAGCCCATCTAAGCCCCGTGCATCATAAACAAGTGTGTCGCTAGTTTTTAGGGCTGACATGCCTATAAGTTTAATTGATAAATTACGCACAAAAAGTAGAGCATTAGCCCTTTTTTCACTAGGGGAAGCATTTCAGGGCTTCTCTTGGGTTTTTGAAAAGCTGCCACCATCCTATTTTTGTGCTTTGGGGCCAAAATAAAAAAATTAAGCATTATTTTGGCTCATGGAAACCACAGAAAACTGAAATCGGGGGAACCAAATCTCGAATCGGGAGTTCTACTGTATACAATGGGGGGGAGACAATCGGTTCATTCAAGAAATGGGGGGAAAGGGTTCATTTTCCCTCACTGGCATAAAGGTCTCCCTTAAACCCATAAACGTAATGAAATCTCTGACAGAACTCTGAAGTAAAAGGGATTCGGGAAACAAAAGGGCACATAAACAATGTAAACAGTACTAAATTAATAGTAAAAGCAATTAGTTAGCACCAAGCATTACAAAATAATAGTAAAAAAAAGAAATAAGTGGTCCCCGTTTTTCGTAAATTAATCCTTCCGGGACCCGTTCTATAAAAAAAATTTACGATTGCAACAATTTTCCCCTAAGAAAAAGTAAAACAATTAATTTTTTCCTGAACCCAAAATATTAAAACAAAAAAATTTTTTACTGAAATATAATGAGTACTAAAAAAAACAAGGGAAATGATGAAAGAAACATTAACAGCTAAAACTTACCTTTTTGGGGATTCTCTTGTGTTGGGAGACGGAGAGGAGGAGAGTGGATTGTTTTAGTTTGGAAGGGGGTCCCCCTTTCCCGCAACACCCCAGGTACCAATTGCTTCTCTGGGGTTGCTTCTCTTCTCTGTTTCTTAATGCCACTAGGACCACCTTGAGAGTCACTCTAGTCCTGTCTCGCAAAGTAACTGTGGAGAGAGCTCTGTTTCTGGTGTCTCTTAACACACTTCCCTAAAATGGCCCAAGACTTTGTCACTGTACATATTTCTCCCTTCTTTACCACAGCTTGGCACTAGGAGCTTTCTTTGGAGCCATGGTACTTATTTAGTACTTGCAAGCACTAAAATGATGGGAATATTATGAAATATTTCGTAGGAGCACTTGAGGGGACCTTCACTCACTGGTAAACAATGCGAGACTGGCTGGTAGGGAGGCCGCCCCGCTCACACCGTGCGTACGCGTCCCGGACAAACTACAATCGCGAGTCAACCTATGAAAAGCGAGTCCATGTTTATAACGAAAATACCCCTATGATTGGCGAAATTTACGACTGCCGAGAACTACGAAAAGTGAGGGACCACTGTATTAAGAGATCCACGATATTACATTAGCTTGTTGGTTGCTCTTTACGTTGGTTTGCGTGCAGCCAGCAGTAATAGCCGGGTTTTGATCAGGCTCTGATCCACCGGGAGGCCTGGTCACAGACCGGGCCGCGGGGCGTTGACCTCCGAACTCTCTCCAGGTAAACTCCAGGTAAACACAAATAACCCACACATAGGAGAAACAAATTTGTGACGTTTCAGTCCCACTTGGACCATTTACTAGTCCGTGTGTTACTAGTTAATGGTCCAAGTTGGACCGAAATGCTGTCATAAGTTTCTTTCCCTTATGTGCAGGTTTTTTGGGTGTATTGTTTAGGTAAAAGGACACAAGTGCAACTAATGTGACATTTTACTGTGGCAACGTTTCACTCTCCAGGACCTTGACAAAGCTCCTGGAGAATGAACGTTGCCACAATAAAATTCACATTAGTTGTACTTGTGTCCTTTTGCCTAACATATTGTCGGTAATTCTACCAACATTATTACACTATCTGTGTGTTGTTCCAGTCATGGTATTGTGCCTTTCTTCTTTTTATTAGTGTTGGTCTAACCTGCTGTCTTTTAAACTCTTGACTGAGGACAATGTTGATGAAGCCTGGGCCAGACATATCCATCTTTTCTATCATGGGACCCGGACTACATTCTCAACAATCATTTGTCCAACTTCACGTGGATTTTTCTTCAGAATCTGAAAATAAAAACAAATATGAACACGAAGAAATATGATAACAATAAAAATCTTTTTATATATAGGAAGGCCCCATGTGTACCTATTTTTGTTGTTCCATATTTTTTGTGGCTTTCAATTGAGCCATGTTCATTATGTTCAGTGCTTTAATAACCGCTGCTCTGCCATTTTTAAGAGATAAGATAAGATTTCGTTCAGATTTTTTTAACCCCGGAGGGTTAGCCACCCAGGATAACCCAAGAAAGTCAGTGCGTCATCGAGGACTGTCTAACTTATTTCCATTGTGGTCCTTAATCTTGTCCCCCAGGATGCGACCCACACCAGTCGACTAACACCCAGGTACCTATTTGCTGCTAGGTGAACAGGACAACAGGTGTAAGGAAACGTGTCGAAATGTTTCCACCCGCCGGGAATCGAACCCGGGCCCTCCGTGTGTGAAGCGGGAGCTTTAGCCACCAGGCCACCGTACAGCAGTTGCGTAAGGGTAGGACTACTGGCGCCATATTTAGAGCTGTATTAACAGGATCCTTCCGTACAGTAATTTTGTATATTATATTCACAAAGATTAGTTGTGCCGATACAGGAGACCCCAAACTCGAAAACTCCAACTTATACACATCTACACTTACAAATGAGGCACTTTAGTAACCAATTAGTTAGTACCATGGTTAGGCATGGTACTAATTGGTACTAACTATTCTTAAGCATGGTACTAATCGGTACTAACCATGCTTATGCATGGTACTAATTGGTACTAATTATTCTTAAGCGTGGTACTAATTGGTACTAACCATGCTTAGGCATGGTACTAACATATATAAAACACAACGATCCTATACAAACAACTCCATAAATAAAACAAAAGAATGCAACTCTTTTTGTCAGTTTGGGGGGACCCCCTTTTTGTCAGTACAATCATGGGCAAGTGCTAAACCCATAAGGCAGAGGATAACCAATGAGATAAAAGCATGTATAATATTGAAGAATTAGACACATGTGCAACATCCGGGTATCTTTATTGTAGACATTTTGCCTACCAATGGCTTTACTGATTCAATATAGAAGAAAAAGGTAATCAGTCCCCCAGCCTAGGAGCAGGTGGTCAGTACTGTCATCTTCATGAATCTGAAGTACTGACCACCTGCTTTTAGGCTGATAGACTGATTACCTCATCTTCTATCTCTCCGACTGATTACCTCATCTTCTATCTCTCCGACTGATTACCTCATCTTCTATCTCTCCGACTGATTACCTCATCTTCTATCTCTCCGACTGATTACCTCATCTTCTATCTCTCCGACTGATTACCTCATCTTCTATCTCTCCGACTGATTACCTCATCTTCTATCTCTCCCCACTGATTACCTCATCTTCTATCTCTTCGACTGATTACCTCATCTTCTATCTCTCCGACTGATTACCTCATCTTCTATCTCTCCGACTGATTACCTTCTTCTTCCCCTCCAAACCTGATTACCTACTCCATCTCTCCGCTGATTCCCTCATTTTCTATCTCCCCCGACTGTTACCTCATCTTCTACTCTCACTAAAACCTCTCTCTATCCTCCGACGATTACCTATCCATCTCTCCGACTGATTCCTCTCT